AAATTAACAGTTGACAAAAAACTGTTTTTATCACATAGCTATCGATATCCAATCAACGTGACTTTTTATAGATATATAGTACTCGACGATTTCTACACATTAAACGGTTCAAATTATCAAAACGGGACTCGTGGTGGACCCCCACGGGCCCAACAGCACGGTCCAGTCCGATCTCGAACTGGACAGAAGCCATACCCTTACGTCAATTTGGTCCAATTAATAACGTGTTAGGATTTTTGACGGAAAACGATCACTAAATTGATTAAGGATTAACTTACTGAGTTTGGTAAGTTTATAGTTTTACTTTTAAAAATGTGACACATGCCACTTATGTGCATATTTTTCATAAAAAAATATTAAGAATTATAATTAATTGGACCAAATTGAAACAAACTCATAAATTTATGGTCAAAATCAAATCAATTAAAATTATAAGGATCAAAATAATACAAAAACTAAAATACAAAGACTATCATCATAATTTATGGCAATGGGGGTTAAATGGGGTGGATATTAATTCCCCATCCCCATTCCCCTATAATAAATTTTTCCCATTCTCCATTCCCCATGGTACCACTCTCCCCATTTCTTAATGGGTTTAGATTTTTCCCAACCCACTTTAATCCCCATTTTTATTTTTTATATTTAATATTAACAACCACTTTTTTTTTTCTTTTTTTTTTTAAGGTTCACAACAAAAGCTAAATATACTTTCAATCTTTTTTCTTTCTTTTTTAATATATTTAATGTTAACAACTTTTTTGTTTTTTTTGTTTTTTTTTTAAGGTTCACAACAAAGCTAAATATACCTTCAATCTTTTTTCTTTCTTTTTTAATATATTTAATGTTAACAACTTTTTTTTTTTTATTAAGGTTTTAGCTAAATATACTTTCAATCTTTTTTCTTTCTTTTTTAATATATTTAATGTTAACAACTTTTTTTTTTATTTATTAAGGTTTTAGCTAAATATACTTTCAATCTTTTTTCTTTCTTTTTTAATATATTTAATGTTAACAATTTATTTTTTTATATATTTTTTATTTTTTTATATTTTTTTTATTTTGTTTTAAGGTTGACAACAAAGTGATTTATGCATTTAATTATGGCAGTGTTTGGAAATAAAATTTATAGATCACTTTAGCCTCTTCAAGAAAAAAATTCAAAAAGTATTGTTGGTGACTTCTCACATGATACACAACTGTAACGGACAAAGGGTAAAATGACGCTTTTGCCTTTTTAATTTTTGAGAAACTCACAACAACAACAATAATACATATAGGGACATTTTGGTCATTTATTATCTCTACATTATTTCAAACACATTTTTCAATTCATCAATCTAACAAAAAATCCAACCCATCTTCTTAAATGCAAAAACTAAAATAGTTTACTAAAATAGTCAAATAGGCAAAATCTCTAAAAAGAAAAAAGATTAAATGTATATTTAGCTTTTGTTGTGAATCTTAAAAATTAAAAAAAAATAAAAGAAAAAAGATGAATGATATTTAGCTTTTGTTGTGAACCTTAAAAATTTTAAAAAAAATTTAAAAAAAACAAAAGAAAAAATATTGAATGTATCTTTAGCTTTGGTTGTGAATCTTAAAAATTAAAAAAAAAATGGTTGTGAATCTTAAAAATAAAAAAATAATAATAAAAAAAAGATTGGATGTATATTTAGCTTTGATTGTGGATCTAAAAAAAAAAGTTGGTTGTGAACCTGAAAAAATAAATAAATAAATAAAAGAAAAAAGATTGAATGTATATTTAGTTTTGGTTGTGAATCTTTAAAAAATAAATAAATAAAAATAAAAATATATATATGGAGAAATTAGTGGGTACCCATCCCCTGTGGATATTTAAAAAATATCACTTACCTTACCTAATAAATAAAAAAAAAGAAAAAAATTCATATTTTTTTAATTAGATCTCCATAGATACCCACATCTCATGGGCAAGATACATTAAGGCCAAGTTTGGGGACTTTAAAAAAAGTTAAAAAGCCAAAAAGTTACTAAAAAAGTTAAAAAGTTAACACTATTCACCAAAAGTCAACAATTACGGCTTTTGAATTTTGCTTATTTTGAAAAGTGATTTTAATTTAAATAGGTCCCTACGAATCAATTTTTTCATTTTTTTATTACACATTTTTCAATAAAAAGTCAAAAAGTTAACCCAAACATCCATATTTTCAACCTCAATTTTTTAGTCCAAAAAGACAAAAAGTGCACTTTTTTAGTCTTCCCAAACTTGGCCTAAGTCAAGATAAGCTTGCTAAAAATTCCGTGTGAGTTCAAATCTCATTAAATATTTGACTTCCTTAAAATCATTTCAGAGTTTTGTTACATTTTAGTCGGGACAAAACTTTGCATATGGTTCTTATCAAAATAGATAAATAAAGAAGATTATTTTTTTATGCATTGAAAAGAGAAAAAAGAAAATAAGTGTAAAATATAAGTAAAATTTAATTATATTTTATTTATATTTTATCTATTTTTTATTTAATTTTTAAATTTTTAAACCAAACACAATTTAAGGCAATCTTTATTGAGAAGCCAAGTTGTGCCCCATTCCCATATGTATTTTTGTCCACAAACTTTGAAATGTGAACAACACATATTTTTTGATTGGTAGAGAGTGATGGGTCCTTCAAAGTAATTAGCTTGTTTGGTTCGAATTTTCAGAATTCATTTTTTAGAAAATTAAAATTTTTGTTTTTCATATTTGTTTATTTTGAGTAATTTTTTTTAATATTCTAAGCAATTTTTTTTATTTTTAGATACACCTAACATAAATACACTTAAAAAGTATAATATTTGTGAAAAAAATACTTGACTAGCACTAGTCTTTTGGAGGAGAATTTTTTTGAGTCTTTTTGGAGCAAATTGATAGTGGTGCTGAATTTCAGAGAATTCACTACATTTTTCGTATTCTTATATATTTATTATTTTTTTAAATATTTTTTTATAAATATTTTACTTTTTAAATATATCTAAGTAAGGTGCATCTAAAAAAATAAAAAATATATTTAAAATTTTAAAAATATACACTAAAAATTAAAAAAAAAAACACGAAAAATGAAAAACTTAATTTCTAAAAAATTAAAATCAAATACACTGAATACACTTTTGATATGGATGGCCTACCTTATCTACCAAGTACAAAGTGTGTTTTGTTCACATGTAACAAAAGCGTGAAAAATTTTGTTTTCTATGTACTGTTAATGGCTTAAGTAAAGGATTAAAATACTTTCTACATAAATAATCTATTGTTATAAATCACAAGGAATTTCATCATTGTTTTTTAGATTCAAAATATATTTTAACTCCTTGTGCTTTATTCTTCATGTGCATTTTATTCCTTGACATTTAAATATGAATACATAACTCCCTTATGTATAAAAAAATAAAATGAAATTTGCATTGAGTTCAAATTTACTCATGCTACTCAACCTTAATCACTATACAAAACGACAAATCAGCAAAGCTGTTGTATCTTTTAAAAAATCTCTTCAAAGAACGTGATTTTTTTTTTTTCACTCACATTAAATAAATATTTTTTTAATATTGATGATTGAAAAATTAGGAAAATCACAATTTTAGCTTTACCAAAAGCTACCAAACAAGGTATAACCCACATGAATAGCTTTTAACGCTAGTGGAAGAGCAAGAGTTAGTTTTTGTGGAAAGGGATGGAACGACAACATCTTGTGTCATGGAACAAAAGAAAAGGTATCCCCCTTTTTAGGTAACACACATTCAATCACAAAGAAAAAAAAAGGGGGGGATGGGTATCTTTACCAAACCTTTCTTTGCATTAATAACCACTTGTATTAATTCAAGTTTTATAGATAGAAATAGAAGATGAGTAATGCTAGAGACCCCAAAAATTCTACCAAAAATTTTACCAAATGTCTCACATGGGTGTGGGACCCTTTGTGGAAAGGGATGGAACGACAACATCTTGTGTCATGGAACAAAAGAAAAGGTATCCCCCTTTTTAGGTAACACACATTCAATCACAAAGAAAAAAAAAGGGGGGGATGGGTATCTTTACCAAACGTTTCTTTGCATTAATAACCACTTGTATTAATTCAAGTTTTATAGATAGAAATAGAAGATATATAGATAGCTCAGTGGCCAAACAACCTTTTTAGCCATGATTTGATCACTGAAGTCAATGTCACCCCCACATTATATAAGTGGCCATGAGAGCTTTCTATATGAGCTGTCAAATTGTGAAAGATATAGGTAGCCTTCTTTTCATTAACCAAATTAGCCTTCATTTAGCTAACTTGTCATTTGTTTGGGCAAAAATAATAATAAAAAACAAAAATTAATGTAAAAATATTTAATATGTTTAATGAAAAAAAAAAATCATTTGAATGAAAATTATTTTTCACTTTATAGTCTTACAAGTTTTATCATTACTATCACTATAGCCACCACCTCCAATCTCATCACGTTGCTGCCACCAACAAAGGTGGTTTAAACTAACCTAGGTTCGATTAGATAGATAATTATTCAATAATACCAAAGTATTGAGAGATATTGCCTAAATGATGGTTTCAACTAGTAACATAGTGAAAAAATTTATGAGTGCCACCCACCTTCATTAGATAAGTGGCTCACTTATTATGTTTTGTAATTTCTCATTTACAAGAAACACTACATAGACAATGACATAATATTTAGAATCACAGTATATAATACTTTTACCAATTACATTGATCTGTTTATTCTAGTTTAGTTTTTTTTTTCTTTCTAAAATGTTTTGTGACAAATTTGTTAGCTACTCTCAGAATATCATATAGTATTGTCTACGTAATACTCCCGATAAAAAATCACAACACATTTAAATAAGTCATCATTTATCTCATGTCTATTTAATAAAAGTGAGTAAATATGTTTCACACATGAAATTTTCAGTATGTCATTAGTTTAAATTGTCCACATGGACAACACCCCCATAATACTCCAAACTACTGAATAATTACCCAATAAAAATTCTCTCCCTGGTTACACTGCATTAGTCACTTGTTCGTGTCCTTTACTTTGGGCTTTTTTCCTACAAACATCTAACCTTAGCAAACCCAAAGAATATGCTACTCAAGAGTCCTCAAGTCAAGTTTTAAAAAGTGGGTTTTTTCAGCAAATTTTCTCGAAAACAGTTTCCGGTAACAGCTCGTCAAACAAGTATTTTTGTGTCTACCCAAAAAATAAAAACAGAAAACAGAGCTAGCCAGGCAAGCACAAGGAAAACATAGATGAAAAGAGAGGTAAAACTGAACTTCTACAGAATATTAGTTTGCATTCAAAAGCACCACGGAAAAAAAAACAATCATATTGTTTTGCTAGCATCAACAACTTGTCACAGTTTCTTGAACATTGTATATAGTACTAGTATAAAACTGTTGTAAAGAAGGTCATATCCTCAGATTATTGTTGCTTAAAGGAGTTTTGTATAGTGCTCTCTAGGAAGTAAAGTAAAAAGACTATGCAGATTCCAAAGTGACTCACAATTTACCTTCTTCCACTTCTCCTCCTCCTCCTCCTCTGTTCTTCAGCTGGTGGCTGCCGCACATTGTTCCCCTAGCACGTACAACATGGTCACAATATCATCACTACCCCAAATTATCCATAGCCATCGCAAAAGGTCTGTCGTGACAGACTAGCGGCGGCAAGTAAGGCTTACTTCCCGGGAAAAATAGATGTAGCAAAAGTTATTTGATACAGATCGTAACGAATTGAGTAAAACTATTTGCACAGACAAGACACGAGAAAGTGGAACCCACTTTCTTGTATCTTGTCTATTAATATCTTCTGTGCATGTATCATAACTGTCACTAATTATATATGGTTTGAGATGGAAATTGCAGTCACTAGTTACATTTTAAATTGCGATTTGTTGTGACTATGAAGTAGGAGTGAAAAAAAGTTCAGCCATACTAACCCAGATATTGCGAATTATTCCAATAAGGAGAGCAGGGAGATCAGTGAAGAAGGTGAGAGCATGATGCACACAGTAAACATCACCGTGGCGGGCATGCACAATTATTGCCTGGCTATCCAACACCATATACCACAGCAGAAGTTCAAAATACAGACACATCTGCAAGGAGCAACACATGCTAGTTACAAACATAGCAACAGTGAAATAGTTTTCCACAATAATTTCTTTGTTCTCCTAATCCCTGTTTTTAGCTTCATTTTGTTATGTTATGTGTATTAACTACATTATGCTATGTAGAAGCAAAAAAGGTGTCCCAATGCATGAAACTCCTGCTAAAGCAGAGTTTAGGGAGGACAAGATAATTCCAAAGAGTATGCATCCACAAAACATAAACATAGTACATGTTTGTTTGTGTTTCATTTTCTAGAAAATAATTCCTTTTGACATCATGATTCGCTGAATTATTAACACAGAATCTTCTCAAGCAGGTTGCAAATCAAGGTCAAGTGGTAATTCTAGCAGAGACTTGAACCTTTTTATGGTTATGTATGGGGCATTGGAATTAAATGAATTAAATTCTAGCACATAATTACAGAGTCTACCGGAAAAATAGCTATGGATACACCAAAGAATATTGAAGCAAGGAGCAATCCGATCAGAATCGAGAGATTGGAGGAAAGCACGCCAAGCACATAGATATATACTCTATCCTGCGACGTGGTTATAGCTTCTGCGAAACAACAAAAAGCCATAGCAGTCCCCAGATATGCAGTGATGACCTTGCTGCAAATAGAGAAATGTTTCTCAATTCGTGGAGTTATTGATCCAAAAAAAATGAATTCTAAACATTGAAAGGCACACACAAGTGTCATGTAACAAATTTAAAGTCTTCCTGGATTATAAAAAGGAAAACAAATTAATTGAGTTACTCTAGGAAACAATAACAATACAAGGTTTTCAATTCTTATAATTACAGTGCTAATTCTACACTATATGGAATTTAATGAATTCAAAGGTCAATTATTAAGAATCTATATAAGACTTGTGATGCATAAAATGAAATTTGCTTCTGACTCCTACATCAATGAAACAACTTTGATTTTCAAAGTGCCTTAGAGAAAATGCCACAAGCATAAAGGAAGTTTCCATACAAAAGCAATTCTAGTCAGAGTCATCTCATCTACTAAAATACGGATAAAAATGAAAACTGAAACAATAATAATGCAACATGTGACACAACAAGTATCAAATGGACCAAAAGAAAAGAAAACGTTAGACTGCCTCTACATAAAACAGGATAGTTTTGTTTTTTCGATTGAGGAATCGAATAGGATTGTTAGACACAGTGGAAGGTTCATAGAGTTGGCATTTAAACTACTTTCCTTTAAACCTAGTGAAACAGCATATGTTGATTTTGGAATGCCACGTCTAAAACAATTTTAGTGTTTCATTTTTATTATATATATATAAAAAAAAAAAAAGGACATCACAAACACAATCTTCCAGAAACTAGAAAGCATGCAAGGCTAATGATTGCCAAGTTTCAGACCGTATCAGGCTGGTCTAAGATGCAACATAATACACGAGATGCTGCGACAACATAAAAATCAAGAAATCAACAAATAGAACAATCGTACTAGACTTACGACAAACAAAAAACACAAAAGGGTTACCTTGGAGCAATCATGACCAACTCAAGCAAATGACCAATAGAAGCCCCAATACACAGTGCAGCAAACATCAAGAGTTCGACCCTCGTCCTCTGCTCATTAAGAAATGTAACGAATTCACAACAGTTAATGTAAGCATTGCTAACAAAGAAGAAGAGACTTGCAAACAACTAAGGAACAGAAATGTCGTAAAATACATACCTCCTTCCATGGGGCCATTGAGAATAACCACCCCATGCTTCCAATGAATCCAAGTGTTGTACTTATGCCCCCAATGTTCCAAAGGACATGCAAGTAGATTCCAAAAGCTGAAATCAGCAGAGCACAGCACAAGGTGTGGTAAACCTGCGTTAAAAAATAGAGCTCAAATTCAAGGTTTAGAAGGAAAAAAAAAATCCAATACAAAAACTCAAATAGGGTGAAGACAATTTGACATAACAAACCAGACATTTAAATGAAAAATGTAAAGCAAGAATCCAATTGAAACAAATTTTAAAGTTCTTGGGTTAAACAGAAATGCAATCAATTCAATCAAAACAAGAAAAATCGAACAAATGCCTAGCAAGGACCAACGAATAACCTCACATATCGGAATATCAAACTGAATTCTCCAAACTATCTTTTCCCTTGGATGAAATGTAGTTATATTTTATTCACATTCCACCTACCTTTTCCCTTTCCCTTTTCAAATCCCTCCCCAAATCTATGTACCAAACACAGCCTAACAGAAACCAAATTCAAGAATCAAGACAGTAATGCATAGTTTATTCAAGAACAATGTACTGAAGCTCACATCACTCAGTGAAATATTCGTTAAATTTTTTTACAGGAAAACACCAAGGGCAAGAATTAAACTAAAACACTTATCAGAGATCTTGAGCCAATACTGGTATATATCTCACGAATCAAAAGCTAAATACTATCAAGTTAAAACATATAAATCAGAAAAATGAAACTCAAATAAAAGCAGATCAAGAAATCATGAATGTTGATGAGAATTTAGAACTATAAATCTCTAAAATCAACCCCTAACAAGCGTCGACAAACAAGAATCTACATAACAACCAAAACAACCATCATGATAACAAAAGTAAACTGAGCAAATGTATTTAATTCAACACTCCAATTTCACTTTCTTTCTCTTTTCAGTTTTTCTCTGAAACCAAACAAACAATCGCAATAACACGTACACAATATGTACATATATATACATTACGGTAATTTCTATTTTCTAAGCCAAAAAAGAAACAAGAATGTGAAATTCAAGAATTCCACGTTCAATTATTGTTTGCATCATTTTCTTGGGAAGCAAACATAAAATCAATTATGTAGCAGACGAGAAAAGTGAGGAAATGCATTAGTCACTCGGTTAGCAAATTCAACAATCCAATTTCACTTTTTTATCTTTTCAATTTTATCTCGGAAACCAAACGTACACAACACGTACAGATATATATATATATATATATCCATTACGGCAATATCTATTTTCTAAGCCAAAAAAGAATAAAGATTGTGAAATTCAAGAATTCCACTTTCAATTCAGTATTTCTCGGGAAACAAACAAAAGTTTTTAGCGAGAAAAAAATGAATACCTTCTTGAGGTGAACCCGAATGAAGAGTGCGACATTATCGAAGCTCCTGAGAGTTTGGGAGCTCCAATCTTTCTCAGTGAAAAAACTCATCTTGATAATCGTATTGAAGATAAAGCAGAGAATCGAATAGAAAGAGAAAGAAAATGAAAGTTTCAGTGCGAGAATGATAAGAGAAGAGAACAGAGCAGAGCAGTCTCAGAAATATATATAATCTGTTAGTCTAGAGAGAGAAAATAAGATTTGCCCCTGCCCTGGCCTTTGGTTTTGAATTACGCGAATTGCCAACTTAGATTGATGAAGTTTTTGCGAAAAAGCTGGGGGTATTTTGGGAAAAGCGTAAAGGGTTTGTTGGTTGGGACGTTCGCGGGAATTAGCGAGATTTGAAACTGGCCGTTTAGTTAGTTTTGACAAATTACACTTTATTTCCCTCAACTATCATTATTTTTCACTTTACCACCTCAAACTAAAAATTAACAAAAGATACTCCCTTCATCTTCTAAAAGTTTTCAATCTACCATTAATTCTCCATTCTATTAACAAAACAAACGGAAAATGTAATGTGCACATGCCATGTTCATAAAGGATCTTTAAAATGTATTTTTGTTATAAAAAGTGACTTGTGCACATTACATGCACCTTTTCCGTCTATTTCATTAACATAATAGAAACACAAAAGTCAGATTAAAAACTTTCATAAGATAAAGAGATTACATTATATCAATTTTAAGTTTGAGGGGGTAAAATGAAAAATAATGATAGTTGAATGGGATAGAGTGTAATTTGCCCTTTGATTTTGATTTTGATTTTTAATATTATAATTATTTTTATTTACTTTTTTGATCCACTAAATTTAGATATATTTAAAAAGTATAAAATTTGTGATTTTTTTTAAATGCAAAAATTCAGAGTTTTTCTTTTTTTTTTTATTTATTGACTTTTTTAGAATTTTTTATATATATATTTTACTTTTGAAATACATTTAAATTAGGTACATTTAAAAAATAAAAGTAAATTAAAATATGAAAAAGAAATCAATAAAAATAAGGGGAATTACATATAGGTGGGAGAAGCGGAAAAAAATTATAAACACATTGGGGTGCAAGTATATATGTTTATGATGAAATGTAAATGAAAGCTCTACTTGAACTTGATGCTATAAACTTTAATGCACTAACAAAAAACGAAAGTATTCAAGCTTGACTCGATTAAAATTTGTGTGAGGTTGACGCAAAAGGTAAATAAGTTAAAACTAAAAAACATTTTGAAACTTGTAAAGATTTCAAGGGAGGTTCTAATAACTTACTACATAGCAGTCCTCAAGTCAAAATAGTTTTCAAATCAGCTCGTCAAATGAGGTTTTTTTTTTTTTTTTTTTTTTTGGGTGTGTTTTCTAGAAAATAAAAACAGAAAACAGAGCTGGACAAACTCAGGCTATTAGATGATCCAACATCCACAAACACATGGACATAAATGATAACAAGACAGAAAGAGAGATAAAGCTGAACTTTACAGAATTTTAGTTAGCATTCAAGCACCCCAATTTTTTTTTTTTGTTTTGCTAGCAATGTACAAACATGTCTCAATTTCTTGAACATTGTATATAGTACTAGTATAAAATTGTTGTAAAGAATGTCACATCCCCAAATTTTAGTTTCTTAAAGGAGTTCTGGAAAATACTCTCTAGGAAGTAAAGTAAAAGGCTATACAGATTCCTTGTGAGTCACAGTCTACTTCTTCCTCCTCTTCTTCTCTTCTGTTCTTCAGATGGTGGCACTGGCAGCTGCATCACCAAAGAAAACAATATCATCACAAAAATTGATCTGGGTCGTCCATTTATATGAATAATTGTTCCTATTAAAAATACCTTCTTTTTATTGCGAATTAGACCGATGACAACAGCAGGAAAATCAGTGAAGAAGGTGAGAGCATGATGCACATAGCAAACATCACCACAGCGGGCTTGCACGATTATTCCCTGGCTATTGAACACCAAGTACGACAGCAGCAGTTCAAAATACAGATACATATACAGCTGCAAGGACCAACACATGCAGTTATAACAACAGTGGGAATAAGTTTCAATAATAATTTCTCTCTTTCTCCTAGAAAATCCCTATTGTTTGCTTCATTTTTGTTCTGTTGTGTTGTGTAATTAGATACATTATACTAACCAAACCTTTGCATGGTATTTATTGGGGCAATGAATTAAATTCAAGCACATAATGAGACAGTCTACCATAAAAAGAGCTGAGTAGCCACCATAGGTTGAAGCACGGAGCAACCAGATCAGATTCAAGAGATCGGAGGAAAACAGGCCAAGCAAGTAGAAACGCGCTCTATTCTGCGACGACATTGCAGCTAGTGAAAAAGAAACAAAACCTATAGCACTCCCCACAAATGCAATGATGATCTTGCTGCAAATACAGAAATAATGTTTCTCAATTCTTGGAGTTCTTGATCCAAAAAAATGAATTCTAAACATTGAAAGGCACACACTAGTAATGAGTTTACCGTCCCAATTAAAACGTAGAGTGACAAAGCTGAACAAGATTTGCAGAATGCACAGTGCTTTTGCAGATTATAAATAAGCTACGTACAATGAATTAGCGGAAGGAACTCTCTATGGTAATGAAGCGTAGAAACTCTAGGCCAGTGTGGCATCTAAACTAGTTGTAGACAAAGGCTATCTATTATAAACTGGCAATAAGGTATTGGGAATTGGCTATTTTAGTTCGCTTTTTAGTTTTTTATGAAAAGATGTGCAAAAAAGTAAAAAAAGTGATGTGACAATTTATAGTGACATTTTGGCTTTTTGACTAAAATCTTAAATGCCCAAATGAAATCCCTCCAATTAAAGTGAAGACAACGGGAAAAATACTTTCACACAGTTACCCCAACAAGCACATTTCTTATGAAAACTAGTAAGAATCCTTTCTTCTACAAAAAGAAGTATAAAAATCAACATTGAAACCAAAATTAGGTGACATGTGACACAAAAGGTTTCAAGTGCATCTAAAAAAAGGAATGAAAAAAAAAATCATGTTTTATTTAGATGCTGCGACTGCATAAAAATCAAGCAAGCAACAAACAGAACAATTGTAGATTCGTACTAGATTTTACACAAAACAAAACACAAAAGGGTTACCCTGGATCAATCTTGACCAACTCAAGCAAAGGACCAATAGAAGCCCCACCACACAGTGCAGCAAACATCAAGAGAAAGACCCTCCTCTTCTGCTCATTAAGAAATGTAACGAATCCACGACACTTGCTGTAAGCATTGGTAACGAAGAAAAAGAAACTTGCGAACAAATAAGTAACAGAAATGTCGTAAAATAGATACCTCTTTCCACGGGGATGTTAAGAATAACCACCCCATGCTTCCGATGAATCCAAATGTTGTAATTATGCCCCCAGTGTTGCAATAGACATGACACTGGACTCCAAAAACTGAAGCCATCAGAGTACAGAACAAGAGGAAGTAAACCTGTGTTAACAGCCCAAAATATGAATCAATTAACTTAGGAAAAAGAAACTAAAATTCAAGGTTTAAAATGAAATAATAAAAATCTAATACCACAAGCCAAGAGGGTTAACGGCAATTTAACATAACAAACCAGTCATTGAAATGAAAATTGAAAAATTGAAACAAATTTTAAATTTCTTGGATCAAACAGATGCAATCAATTCAATCAAAACAAGAAAAATCAAGCAAATGCCCATAGCAAGGAACAAGACGAAAAACCTCACAGAAAATTATCAGAAATCTCATACTGAAGTTGCCAACAGAAACCAAAACCCCCAAAAATTCATATCTGAAAATCAAGACAATAATGCGTAATTTATTCAAGAAGAATGTACCGAAGCTCACATCATTCAGCAAAACATTAGTTACAAATATTTAAAGGAAAACATCAAGGGCAAGAATTAAACTATGGGTCTTGTTAAGGTGTCGTTAAAAATGCTTAAAAAAAGTGTACATTCTACATAAAAGTGAGTGTAATAAAAGAATGTATAATCTTTTTTGGCAATTTTAACATGTTCCTTAAAGGCATGCATTAACAAAATACTTAAAAGTAAAAACACTAATCAGAGATCTTGAATATATATCTAAAAAAGCAAGAGCTGAGTACTATCAAGTTAAAACATATAAACCAGGAAAATGAAACTCAAATTAAAACAGACCAAGACATCATGAATATTGGGTGAGAATTTAGAACAATAAATCTCTAAATCATATCCAAGAATCAAAAACAATAATGTATAGTTTATTCAAGAATTATACTAAAACACTTACCAGAGATCTTGAATATATATCTAAAAAAGCAAGAGCCAAGTACTATCAAGTTAAAACATATAAACCAGAAAAGAAATAAATAAATAAAACTCAAATCAAAACAAACCAAGAAACCATGAATGTTAACGAGAATTTTGAACTATAAATCTCTAAAATCAAAACAAACCAAGAAACCATGAATGTTAACAAGAATAGAATATTTCGAATCACTCGTATCTTTGTGTTTCTTTTTCTTTATCATTTTTCTTAAGCTAATGCAATAAATGTATGTATTGGCAATTTCATTTTCTTTCTCATTTCAATCTTTCTCGGTAACCAAACAAACAATTAATTAACACGTACACAATATGAAAGTGTATATATTGTCTAAACTATCAAAGAATTAAGATTGTGAAATTCAAGAATTCCACATTCAATCATTGTTTTCAGCATTTTCTTGGGAAACAAACAGAAAAATGAATTACCTTAAAGAGGTGAGCTTGAATGAAAGGTGCGATGTCATCGAAGTTCCAGAGAGTTTCGGAACTCCAATCTTTCTCAGTGAAAAAACTCATCTTGAAAACCATATTGAAGAAAAAGCAGAGAATCGAATAGAAAGAGAAAGAAAGTGAAAAGTTTCAGAGTGAGAATGAGAAGAGAAGAGAACAGAGCAGAGCAGTCTCAGAAATATATATAATCTGTTATTCTAGAGAGAGAGAGTAGATTTGCCCCTGACCTGACCCTTGGTTTTGAATTACGCGAATTACCAACTTAGGTTGATGAAGTTTTGATATAAAGTTGGGTTTATTTTGGGGAAAGCGTAGAGGATTCGCGGGAATTAGAGAGAGATTTGAAACCGGCCGTTGAGTTCTGGTTGCATTCAATTAACTGAAATGAAAAAAAGGGAAAAAAAAAAAAAACTTTTTAGATGAAAATAAAACTTAAATTTTACTTTTCTTACATATATTTTTTGGGGGAATTATCCATTAGTGATAGTCGGAAAAATTATTTATAAAAACATGATAAATATTAATAATTAAATCATAAACTGTTCTACTAATGTAATAATTTTTGAAAACCCCTCCTGATTGATAAATTTACCTATATCTTTTTCGGATAAATTATAATACCTCTATTATTAAGTTTATATTAAATCTAGTTGTGTCTTCAAATAAATTGAGTTAACTTTAGTACATTATTAAATGAACATAGTTTTTTTATACAAGTAGTCTAAAAGAAGTATTCAATGAGAGAAAAAATAATCTAACGAGTTTTTTTTTGGCTCTTTTTTTAAAATTTTGAGTTATTAATTAGATCTCAATGTATAATATTGACATAATTTAGTGAAAAAAAGTGATACATACATCACGTATAAATGAAAGTGACTAGATAAAATTAATACTATTAACTCATATGTGAAGCAATTAAAGATGATGCGCGGGTGCTTTAGCCAACCTCAGAGCGGAGTACATTGAAGGCCTAGTCATGATAAAAAACCCACGTACGGCAGTTAGACCACTTTTTGTAGCAGACATGGTTGGAACTGTGTATAAGGTGATATAGTTAGGGAAGGCAATTTGAATCCGGTTCGACGGTGATCAGACTCCTCAACTTCGAATTGAGCGGTTATTTTCCGAAAAATATTCTCCACAAGCCGGGAATGGCATTCAAAAATAAATCCCTGATAATGTTCGGGCCGGGGACAAGGATGCATGTCCCAGCCCCAGACCCGGCCTAGCCCGTCCCTGACCCCTGACCTGTTTAGCCCCGATGTAAAATTACTATTATGCCCAGTTTATATATATGTGTGTGTGTGCGCGCGCACGCGCGTTGAGGTTTGGTTCATCACTTCACATGCACACTTACGCACACTGTGTTGGCTGCTTTCTCTCTCTCTCATCGCTTAGGGTTTTGCCTCCCCCTCTCTCTCTCTCTCACTCACATAATGACGACTGTCGCTCCTCTCTCATCGCCACTGCTTTCGCCTCTCTCTCTCTCTCTCACACACACACACACACACGACGCCGACGGCTGTCGCTCATCCCTCACCGCCACTCGTGAACAGAGCGTGACCGTTGCCACCGACCACCGATCTGAACAAATCGTGAACCATGAAGCTCTCTCTCTATATATATATATATATATGTATGTATGTATGTATGTATATGCGTGTGATGATGATTGTTGATGATGTTGATATATATATATGTGTGTGTGTGTGCGTGTGTGTGTGTAATGAACGTAATGAACAAGTTCAGATTTTTATTTTTTATTTTTTTAAGTTGTTGTTGATGATGATGATAGATACATATATATGTGTGTGTGTGTAATGAACAATTTCAATTTTTTTTTTTTTAAGTTGTTGATGATGATTGTTGATGATGATGATGAAATATACTGAAAACAACATATTAAATTTTTTTGTTGTTGTTGTTTTTGTGTAGAACAAAATTATAAAAAAAAAACAAAAAAACAAACAGGTTGGGGATTTTCGGGGTCGGGGAAACCCGATTCCCATTAGGGCCGAGGGCCGGGGGGTGATGGTGTCCCCACCGGGGATCGGGGCGGGGACGGAGATATTTTTGCCTTCGGGGATCGGGGACAGGGAGTGTATTCCCCGACCCCGCCCCAGCCCGTTGCCATTCCTAGATATAGCCTCTCTTATTTTATGCTTTATGTAAAATTCTATTCTATTTTAATTCCAATGTACCCAAAGAAAAAAAAAAACAAAAAAAAACAAAACAAATATTATAGATGAAATATAATAAGGAAGCTATCTTATTATAAGTTAGTAAATTAGTAGGCTATCTTATATAATTAGGAGGCTATCTTATTATACATTTTACAAATACTCATGAAATATAGGAATAATATTGCAATTTTAGTTATAAGTTGAAAATGAGTGAATTATTTATAGTTGTTTTGTATTAATTTAAATTTCATGAATGCTTATATGTTATGATTCATATAATACACAACATGCTATATTTTGGGTTAAGGGATTTAAGGAGGGATTTGGAAATGGAAAGGGAAATGAAAAAGTTAGGTAAAATATACTTATATTTCACCTAATTTCACACACCTTTTCCTTTTTCCTTTTCAAATCTCTCCCTAAATCCTCCAACCAAACACAGATGAATGACATAAAGATGAAATACATATACAAAACATAAAACTAGACCATCCCACAAGAGGGAACATCCACAACCACAGCCACTAGACATGTTATTTCTAGTGGAACATACTCCATCCAAACACACAGGTCATTGCTTGAGACAACCGTAGCCCGACATACCAAACAGTAAGCTACTTCATTACCATTGCGTATAGAGATGGCAATTTGAACCCGGCCCAACGGGGACTCGACCCTCCGACCCCGATTAGAACGATTTTTTCCTGAAAAATACTCTCAACGGGTCGGGGATGGTATCCAAAAATGAATCCCCAACAATTTTTGGGCCGAGGATGGTGATACGTTCCCTAACCCCGGCTCCGTCTCCTTTTTCCTGAACTGAAATTACTATAATACCCCTATATATATTTCAAACCCTAACACAACCTCACATACTCACACAAGCCTCAAACAGTCTCTGTCTCATCTTTTTTTCTCTCTCTCTCTCTCTCCTCATCCCCTTTATCTCTTTTCTTGCCGACTACCACTCCCGCAATCGCCCAATCGCCACGACTACCACCTTCGCAGCCGCAATCTCCTCTTCACTTCCCTGACCTCACCTTCTCTGCTTCAAACCGAACACGCACAGTCGCCCTACCTCATCTTTATTGAATCCGATGATCTCTCTTACCACCAACCGAACCTTCATCGTCGGAGCTACTCAGTCACAAGATCTAGATCCACCACCACCATCAGGCATGAGATCTGAATTTTTGAAGATCTGATCTAAAGTTTCAATGATGATCTCTCTCTTTCTCTGATCTAATCCATGTGTACATAACAATTTTAGATCCTTTTTTGTTTTTGAGTTGTTGATGATGATGATGAAACATTAAAAAAAAAAAAAAAATCATTATACATATATTGATTTATTGGTGCATACTGATTTACATATTAAATTTAAATCTGTATGATACTGAAAACAGATTGTTTTCATTATAATACTGAAAAAAATTAATTTAATTTAAATCTGTATTGTTAAAAAAATAA